ACTTCGTTCCATTCTTAATACCTACTATACCTGCAAGAAACATAAACAATTCTTTTCTTTAAAGTGCAATTTAATTCAAAAAGATATGCAAAACATAAAGAAATTCATACAATCTTTTAACACATCACTAATCGAAGGGAAAAAAATATTTACCTGGTTAAATTAGAATGGAAAACCATACAAACTTACATCTAACCAAAGGGTGATTAGATCAGGATAAAAAATCACACGTATTCATATCTAACCTAAGAGCTAATCGAAAGGAAATTGATTTGATTTATTTTGTTCAACTTTATTTTATATTGCATTATTTCATGTAATTTTATATCATTTTGTGTCATGTAGCAGAAGGAAGGCTCGGGAACTCACTTTTAACTAGAGAGGTGAATAGAGATGGCTAAATCATGATAGAAATATAGGGACATATACATAAAAAGAGAGTTAGTAAAGTGATCAACTTAAGATAGAAAGTTCAGGGACTTGCATCCATCTTAAAAGCTGACCAATCAGTCTTAGAAGAGAACCATTGGGTTTTGTGAATCTAAAGTTTATCTTGCGGTGTGTAATGACTAATACTAGAGAGTAATTGCACAACCTCTCTACTAAACTTACTTAGCCAAAGCATTAACTTATCAAATCTGTCACGGGCATCAAAGTCACTGAACTACAAAGAAATTATTCTATGTATATTTTTTTGGGTATTCAATGACTGAACCAAGAAAGGTTCATGTCAATGATTATGTTTGCTTCAAACTTACTTCTCATTAGCCAAAGTATTTTTCTACTGCACCAGAAATACAAGAAAAGCAATGAACTCGGGTTGCTCCAAGCGAGGGCCATATCAGAGGCATTGTCCAATCAATGAAGAACCTAATTACTTTGTGTGAGGGCCATATTGAGGGCCTTGTCCAAACAATGAAGAACCATGCCGACTTGTTTTCATCTAGTTATCACCAGGCAAACAAAACAATCCTAACCCTAAGGTTTATAATGATTGTACAAAGACTCATCTTAGATTTACGTAGCTAAGGTGCCAACTCTTGTTGAGATCAATATCAAAATCAATAAAACTTATGAACCTAAGAAAGGAACATATCATATCTTTAGTGTGCGACAAGCTAAAATAAATTAAGGAATCGTCGAGAGACTCACATTAACTCAAATTAAAATATATTACATCATGATGGTGCGTCGGAAGACATACTCCAACTTTTAATGGATCTTAAGCTAAACCAGTGCAAAGGAATGATCAAGGCCAGACCAGGTCTAACTGCCCTAACCTTAAGGTGTTTAATTACTTCATTATAGAGCAGTTGCATTGATCATGCTTTATATTTACTCGGCCAAGGCGTGGACCCACATAGACGAACCAATGAGAAGAAAATATCATCCATATATAGGCTTTAAATATATTATACGATTAGAAAGGCACCCATAGACCAATCATAAATTTACTAGTCTAAGGAACTGAAATGACTGCACCCATATATCTCACCAACATCAGCTAACCTTGTCGACCGATACAAGTTTAGTCCACACTAAACTAGGTACAATATTCTTAACACATAGATGTGTAGTTATTGACTCGAGGGAGTGGTTACATAGACCATAACTTTACCCGAATTTACTTAGAAAATACGCCAATTATTGCTAGGACCGAATTAGATGAACAGAAACTAACGAGCTTGAGAAAAAAAAATATCATTATTCAGTGTGTGGTGAGTTGTGCTAGGATAAAAAATAGTCAAGAGACTTATCTTAACTTATATTTACTATCCTAAAGGATTGATCTACATATCCAACTTTGACTGGATTGAGATCAATTAATCAAAAGGCATCATGATGGTGCCCTGAATGACATACTCCAACTTCCAACACATCAAAACCAAACTTGTGGAAAGCTTGAAGAAGATCAAACTAAGTTTAACATAATTATTCTGGTGTGGGATGAGCTATACCGAGAAAAGAGTAAGACTTACCCTAATTCAGATTTACTCACTTAAAGAACTGGCCTGCATAATCAGTCCTTATTTAGTATGAGGTTAATCAACCAGGTCAAATCGTGACAGTACCACAAAAAACATGCTCTAACTTTCAATAAACCTGAAGAAGATTTGTTATATTTCATACGGTGTTTGATGGATCATACTGAAAAATGAATTGTTAAAGACTTCATATCTCATACTTACTAGCCCAAAGAATTGAATTACACAATCAGCTCTGATTCACTTAAAGTCAATTAACATGATTACATCGTAATTTTGTCACAAGGGACATGCTCCAACTTTCGATGGATCATAAACAAACTTCTTTCAGTGTGTGATAGATTAAACTGTGAAAAAAAAAATTATTAAGAGACTTACCTAGGCGAATGGTAGGAGGCGCTAGAGCGTTGGGTTAATGTTGGGCTATCACTTTTGAATAAGGAGAATGGAGAGCTTAGGTGTCATCCAAGATGGCGTCTATGCGCTTGGGTGGGGTCTAAGCGCCATTTTGGAGGTGTTTATAAGCCTCCTTCTTGGGTTGCAGCGCATGGAAGAAGTGGGATGGGATGTCTATGCACCACCATGATCGGTGCCAAATTGTTGGGGTGATTTGGGTGCACCACCTTCAGAAACTGATGCACTCAGGGTGTTCGGGTGATATAAAACAACACCTCCATGCTCAGGTGAGCCCAGGCACTGCAATTTGGGGGTTATGACCAAAATTACAACCCTAGCTCATAGGGAAGAGAAAAAAAATTAAAGAATCCATTGGTCCAATTGATTTTAGTTAAAAGAACTCTCATGTCATGGAAATCCAGATCAAAATGTGCACCTCACCTCATGAAAGAGGAAATTGAGATTTTTTTATGAAATTTATGAACTTCAAATTGGTCAATAATGTTTTTAGCTTAATTTGGCTATATTTTGAGTTTGGAGTAGATGTAATTTCATTTGAGGGAAAATTTGTAATTATCCTCCAAATTATCCTAATTTTGTCCAAATTATTGTAGGCTTATGAGCCCCAATACAAAGTTTGCACCCTAATTATCATAGACAAAATTGTAATTATTGCCCCATTCGAAAGATTTCGAAGATCCATACGCATTTACAAAGTCCATTACATAAAACGTAACTTTGATAAAGAAAAATTATGTGCGACCATTTCTCATGCATGAAAGCTCGCCACGTAAAATTTCACGTAAAACATTTTTTAATAGCAATCAAACCTTATTGCATGTTATTCATCATGATAATGAACCAAATGTAACTTATAACATGAAATCTCAACATTCCTAATTTATCCATCAACCAATCACCCACCTTCCACTTCGAACAAATATTCTTGCCATCAACAATAAAAGAAAAAATTCGGTGACCCAGATCACTTATGCAATCTCAAGAACTAAAAGATGCCAAATCACGAGAATACGAGACACACAAGAGTCGAAGTTTTAGCCTAACATTGATCAAGCAATACATGCAAAATTTAAGCAATGGCCACAAAAAAATTAACAAAGTTCAAATAGCCAATTTTATTGCGTTAGAAGTTTTGGTGCCATATAAATAAATATACAGTTAATGATGTGAGATATTTAAATAATCATATTTAAAATGCTACATATATTATATTCCCATATTTAAAATAATTGGGTTACATTATCAGTTTGATTTAAAAAAATAAAAAAAATATATTAAATACATTGTATAAATTAAGGACTATATGTAGTGCTGAAATAGAACAAATCGCCCATCTTTTTAACAACATTGACAATTTATTTTCTAATTCAACATAAAATATTTTGAAAAAAGCATGAATCCGAGAAGAAAGATCCCCAGAGCAAGCTCGGAGGCAGAGGAAGAACCCTCCAATTCAAGATTTTTGAGAGGGGGAACAAAAGCAAAAGCTTGAATTTACTACCGTTAAAAAAAATCAGTTAAAAAGTGAAATCAACTTTCTTAAGAAAGAGTCATAAGTGGATTGAGACCTGTGAGCAAGCGATGGCTTAGAAAAATACTTAGATTGTGTCCATTTAGGTGAGTCAAATCAGATTTACGGCTTGGGTTGCATTTAGATCCAAAATTACCTTGACCAAAACTATTTGACATGAACCTAATATGAACAATAAACGGGTCAGACAATCCAACCCAAATTTAGCTAGTACCCCATTTAGGATGAGTTAGGGGCGACAGCAGTAGCGATGCGATGTCGCGCCGTAATTTTTCCTGTTTGACAATACTGCGCTTGCCTACGTTCTAAAAAAAACTACAGCTAAAAACTATGTTTTTCTATTGGACCTGACTACCTGTGATTGCTGCTACAAAAATGCAGTCCGAATTTTCACAATAATAATAATAAAAAAAAATTATAATTGCCACTGCAACTTTTTGAATAACCCTTCTTCAACAACTTCACAGTTACTCTTCAAATAGTTGCAACTGTGCCACACAGACCTTTAATGTAAAGAATAACAAATATTTGAATTGATTTTTGTTCAAATTTGGGCCACTTTGAAGTCAATTTTGAGTGAAGGGTTGATTTTGAGTAAATTCAGATCGACAGTTCAAACCTAACTCAACCCGAAAATTTAAACAAATCAAGATTCTTAACCCGAACCCGACCAAACAAATTATTCGTATCAATCTGAATCTAAATTTTTCGAGTCGAATTAATATATTGAGTCAATTTTTTGACACTGCCTTCATTGATATTAGAATAATAAGTTCAAATAACGTTTGAAAAAAAAACTGCTCAAATTTATGATTGAAAATAAGATCAAGAATCTCAAAAGGGGTTAACTTCAAGGGAAACATTAAAAAAAAAAGATAAATCTAAAAGGGGTAGGTTCAAGCGGAACCTTAAAAAAAAAGGGAAATTACATAAGTAGCAATACTCCTATGGATTTACCTATCACACCAAAGCTTTCATTTTTGCACATACAACACTTTACATATAGATGAAAAGATGAATTTGACATTAAAATGTGATGATGAGTTCATATGATGTCTGTAATTATGAAAGTTTCATTGTGAGAAAGGTAAATATGAAAATCAACAAATAAGTTCCATATATAATCTTTCTCTAAATCAAATTAATGGGGCCCTTATACAATGCTAGGGAACACAAAAATAAATTTAACAATTAAAAAAAAACATCTCCTATAACACTCCTCCAATTATTCCCTAAGAAAAAAACTGATCAGTTTCAAAATAAATTTAATAATTAAAAAAAAAAATCTCCTATAACACTCCAATTATTCCCTAAGAAAAAAACTGATCAGTT